CTAATTTGTATATTAGCTTACTTATTTCATCTAGAGATATTCATTTGTTATGTCTACTGTGGGCTTGGAGTGGATTCGTGGAACAATCCTCCTTTAGAATACCAATAGTACTTAAAGCATCTTGCGAGTCAGGCACCATGTGGGATTATGGGATTGTCCTGGCGGACGCTGTTGCCTATGCTACTTTAGGATTTTGGGATTGCCGAACACTCTCTTACCAAAACACTTTCTCATATGGCAGTCCCTTCCTATTATTTATAACAAAGTAGTGGAATTTGCTTTTGTTTGTCAAAATATACTTTATTCAGTTAAATCCCTTACTGTTGTGGACTGTTTTCAGGTGGAGTCCCTCAAGTCGACCTTCAGGTCGGGAAGCAGAACATATATACTCTACTGACCCCTGCAGAGACTGTTTGTGAAGGTAGGCATTGTCAGCCATGATTCAGGTTATTCTAGTTGTGTATTTGGAGCTAACACGTATGAAAAGAAAACATATAATAATTTATAATCTAGAAGTAAACTAGACTATGACATATAAATATTACCCATAATGGTTGCATCTTCTTGTGTAATCACTTTCCCATATTTGCATATGTGCATTTAAACGATTCTCAATGTTAATTCGTCACTTAAAGCCATATGACGTCATCCATTGTTAACGTCACAAATTCATTTCATTAAGTCGTCTGAACAATAGGCTGCCTTCAGTCAAATTTATCTGTAACGTTATGCGTGTTTCTTCGTGTTTTCTTTTATAATGGCAATTAGTAATATAGAGAATAACCTACTCTAAACTCGGAATTACAGATTATCTTTACCCCATGAAAGAATGCTGTAAGAACACCATTTATTCACTCTGGACAGATAATCGGTAATTGCTCATAGGTCGTTTATTATTCTATATATGTAATTTATGACCTAATGTCAATTTCATCATAAATTGAATTATGTCTGTTTTTCAACTTGACAATGTCACAACATCCCGATTACCCTTAACGTGCAGAACTAGGATGGACATAATGATCAGACCACTGCGCTGTATGAGAGAGTGTCTTGAATGAGAGAGGGTCAGCTTTCTTGTCGCCCCATGAAACAGTGTCCTATACCACGTTACTGCTGAAAACGACAGTATTTTTTAATTTTAAAAATCATCCCCTAGCCAACTTCTATTGTACCAGTATATCTGATTCACTTGGTAGATGTAACGTCCCAGCGGACTTTCAGACCTAAGTTTCCATCAAGGTTTTCAGAATATATTCAATGAATGTAATTGAATATAGTCTATACAGATGTTTATGGACCTTTGGAATCCAATACAAAAGCTGAATGGACTTATTTTCAAGTTCTAGAGTCAAGCCAGAAGTTGATGCTTCTGTTGTGTGGTTTTAGGAACTTTTTTCCCCAGTGGACATAATGGTCTTATATGTAATGTTATATATGTCACTTTTACCAAGTTCTCTGATCAAACAAGAAATGAAGGGATGCTTACATATTGCGGTAACGTTATTTGCGGCCTTGTCAGTGGGAACAAGTACTAATGTTTCATGTTGGGCATCCAGACTTTGGATGACAGCTGACTGGGACAGACTAGGTATAATGGGTTTTCAATTTGTGCATTCTATATTTGACAACAACACGCACACCGAATTTACACACTCCGTTGGACATTCAGAAGGTTCAACTTCTCTATTGGTTCATTTTGTGACATACGCTTCGACAACATCCATAAGTGATTGAAAGTTGTGACCTAAATTGGTAATATTATGGTTCATATTTGAATAACTGGCGAAAGGTGCTTTGGTCAATCATAGAGACGCCACCTGTGATTATAAGATCGAGACACAAGACGTGTAGTTTACACAATGAACCGCCAACATTTCAAACCTACATACTAATAGATATTTTCACCTTCATGTCTGGTGCGTCATATGTACACGTAAGTGAACATTTTGCTTGAAGTATTCCTTCGACCATTCCTTCGACTGTACTGAGTGACTACGGGGCATACAATAGCAGGGGTTGTCTTTGTGTTTGTAACAGAAAATTGAAAGATGTTTCTTCAAGCTTGGAAGAACATTGTGCCATCTTTGCGTGACATCTGTACGAACAAGACAATATGGTAAACTGTATAAAAGATGAATAGATAGTGAGTTTTATTTGTGTATATTAAGAAACAATTCATGATCACCTGTGTTCAAGAATGTGTCACAAAACAGGCGATCAAAAAGGAACTTGAGAAACAAAATTATAAATTAACTGAATAGTGAAGAAAAACATAAAGAAAACATAGATAAATATTCAATCCGTTTGGGAGGTGCAAGGATATATCAAAGTATTATTTCAGGCAAAATGGGGTCAATGTTTGTTAAATAATTTGCTTATGGTCATGACACCATTTAATCGATTGTTTGAATAGACAAACAAATTTTAAATGTTCTTCCAAGCAATGAAAATTACAAAATCAGTTGCGTTTTCCAGAAACTAATTTGTATATTAGCTTACTTATTTCATCTAGAGATATTCATTTGTTATGTCTACTGTGGGCTTGGAGTGGATTCGTGGAACAATCCTCCTTTAGAATACCAATAGTACTTAAAGCATCTTGCGAGTCAGGCACCATGTGGGATTATGGGATTGTCCTGGCGGACGCTGTTGCCTATGCTACTTTAGGATTTTGGGATTGCCGAACACTCTCTTACCAAAACACTTTCTCATATGGCAGTCCCTTCCTATTATTTATAACAAAGTAGTGGAATTTGCTTTTGTTTGTCAAAATATACTTTATTCAGTTAAATCCCTTACTGTTGTGGACTGTTTTCAGGTGGAGTCCCTCAAGTCGACCTTCAGGTCGGGAAGCAGAACATATATACTCTACTGACCCCTGCAGAGACTGTTTGTGAAGGTAGGCATTGTCAGCCATGATTCAGGTTATTCTAGTTGTGTATTTGGAGCTAACACGTATGAAAAGAAAACATATAATAATTTATAATCTAGAAGTAAACTAGACTATGACATATAAATATTACCCATAATGGTTGCATCTTCTTGTGTAATCACTTTCCCATATTTGCATATGTGCATTTAAACGATTCTCAATGTTAATTCGTCACTTAAAGCCATATGACGTCATCCATTGTTAACGTCACAAATTCATTTCATTAAGTCGTCTGAACAATAGGCTGCCTTCAGTCAAATTTATCTGTAACGTTATGCGTGTTTCTTCGTGTTTTCTTTTATAATGGCAATTAGTAATATAGAGAATAACCTACTCTAAACTCGGAATTACAGATTATCTTTACCCCATGAAAGAATGCTGTAAGAACACCATTTATTCACTCTGGACAGATAATCGGTAATTGCTCATAGGTCGTTTATTATTCTATATATGTAATTTATGACCTAATGTCAATTTCATCATAAATTGAATTATGTCTGTTTTTCAACTTGACAATGTCACAACATCCCGATTACCCTTAACGTGCAGAACTAGGATGGACATAATGATCAGACCACTGCGCTGTATGAGAGAGTGTCTTGAATGAGAGAGGGTCAGCTTTCTTGTCGCCCCATGAAACAGTGTCCTATACCACGTTACTGCTGAAAACGACAGTATTTTTTAATTTTAAAAATCATCCCCTAGCCAACTTCTATTGTACCAGTATATCTGATTCACTTGGTAGATGTAACGTCCCAGCGGACTTTCAGACCTAAGTTTCCATCAAGGTTTTCAGAATATATTCAATGAATGTAATTGAATATAGTCTATACAGATGTTTATGGACCTTTGGAATCCAATACAAAAGCTGAATGGACTTATTTTCAAGTTCTAGAGTCAAGCCAGAAGTTGATGCTTCTGTTGTGTGGTTTTAGGAACTTTTTTCCCCAGTGGACATAATGGTCTTATATGTAATGTTATATATGTCACTTTTACCAAGTTCTCTGATCAAACAAGAAATGAAGGGATGCTTACATATTGCGGTAACGTTATTTGCGGCCTTGTCAGTGGGAACAAGTACTAATGTTTCATGTTGGGCATCCAGACTTTGGATGACAGCTGACTGGGACAGACTAGGTATAATGGGTTTTCAATTTGTGCATTCTATATTTGACAACAACACGCACACCGAATTTACACACTCCGTTGGACATTCAGAAGGTTCAACTTCTCTATTGGTTCATTTTGTGACATACGCTTCGACAACATCCATAAGTGATTGAAAGTTGTGACCTAAATTGGTAATATTATGGTTCATATTTGAATAACTGGCGAAAGGTGCTTTGGTCAATCATAGAGACGCCACCTGTGATTATAAGATCCAGACACAAGACGTGTAGTTTACACAATGAACCGCCAACATTTCAAACCTACATACTAATAGATATTTTCACCTTCATGTCTGGTGCGTCATATGTACACGTAAGTGAACATTTTGCTTGAAGTATTCCTTCGACCATTCCTTCGACTGTACTGAGTGACTACGGGGCATACAATAGCAGGGGTTGTCTTTGTGTTTGTAACAGAAAATTGAAAGATGTTTCTTCAAGCTTGGAAGAACATTGTGCCATCTTTGCGTGACATCTGTACGAACAAGACAATATGGTAAACTGTATAAAAGATGAATAGATAGTGAGTTTTATTTGTGTATATTAAGAAACAATTCATGATCACCTGTGTTCAAGAATGTGTCACAAAACAGGCGATCAAAAAGGAACTTGAGAAACAAAATTATAAATTAACTGAATAGTGAAGAAAAACATAAAGAAAACATAGATAAATATTCAATCCGTTTGGGAGGTGCAAGGATATATCAAAGTATTATTTCAGGCAAAATGGGGTCAATGTTTGTTAAATAATTTGCTTATGGTCATGACACCATTTAATCGATTGTTTGAATAGACAAACAAATTTTAAATGTTCTTCCAAGCAATGAAAATTACAAAATCAGTTGCGTTTTCCAGAAACTAATTTGTATATTAGCTTACTTATTTCATCTAGAGATATTCATTTGTTATGTCTACTGTGGGCTTGGAGTGGATTCGTGGAACAATCCTCCTTTAGAATACCAATAGTACTTAAAGCATCTTGCGAGTCAGGCACCATGTGGGATTATGGGATTGTCCTGGCGGACGCTGTTGCCTATGCTACTTTAGGATTTTGGGATTGCCGAACACTCTCTTACCAAAACACTTTCTCATATGGCAGTCCCTTCCTATTATTTATAACAAAGTAGTGGAATTTGCTTTTGTTTGTCAAAATATACTTTATTCAGTTAAATCCCTTACTGTTGTGGACTGTTTTCAGGTGGAGTCCCTCAAGTCGACCTTCAGGTCGGGAAGCAGAACATATATACTCGACTGACCCCTGCAGAGACTGTTGGTGAAGGTAGGCATTGTCAGCCATGATTCAGGTTATTCTAGTTGTGTATTTGGAGCTAACACGTATGAAAAGAAAACATATAATAATTTATAATCTAGAAGTAAACTAGACTATGACATATAAATATTACCCATAATGGTTGCATCTTCTTGTGTAATCACTTTCCCATATTTGCATATGTGCATTTAAACGATTCTCAATGTTAATTCGTCACTTAAAGCCATATGACGTCATCCATTGTTAACGTCACAAATTCATTTCATTAAGTCGTCTGAACAATAGGCTGCCTTCAGTCAAATTTATCTGTAACGTTATGCGTGTTTCTTCGTGTTTTCTTTTATAATGGCAATTAGTAATATAGAGAATAACCTACTCTAAACTCGGAATTACAGATTATCTTTACCCCATGAAAGAATGCTGTAAGAACACTATTTATTCACTCTGGACAGATAATCGGTAATTGCTCATAGGTCGTTTATTATTCTATATATGTAATTTATGACCTACTGTCAATTTCATCATAAATTGAATTATGTCTGTTTTTCAACTTGACAATGTCACAACATCCCGATTACCCTTAACGTGCAGAACTAGGATGGACATAGTGATCAGACCACTGCGCTGTATGAGAGAGTGTCTGGAATGAGAGAGGGTCAGCTTTCTTGTCGCCCCATGAAACAGTGTCCTATACCACGTTACTGCTGAAAACGACAGTATTTTTTAATTTTAAAAATCATCCCCTAGCCAACTTCTATTGTACCAGTATATCTGATTCACTTAGTAGATGTAACGTCCCAGCGGACTTTCAGACCTAAGTTTCCATCAAGGTTTTCAGAATATATTCAATGAATGTAATTGAATATAGTCTATACAGATGTTTATGGACCTTTGGAATCCAGTACAAAAGCTGAATGGACTTATTTTCAAGTTCTAGAGTCAAGCCAGAAGTTGATGCTTCTGTTGTGTGGTTTTAGGAACTTTTTTCCCCAGTGGACATAATGGTCTTATATGTAATGTTATATATGTCACTTTTACCAAGTTCTCTGATCAAACAAGAAATGAAGGGATGCTTACATATTGCGGTAACGTTATTTGCGGCCTTGTCAGTGGGAACAAGTACTAATGTTTCATGTTGGGCATCCAGACTTTGGATGACAGCTGACTGGGACAGACTAGGTATAATGGGTTTTCAATTTGTGCATTCTATATTTGACAACAACACGCACACCGAATTTACACACTCCGTTGGACATTCAGAAGGTTCAACTTCTCTATTGGTTCATTTTGTGACATACGCTTCGACAACATCCATAAGTGATTTAAAGTTGTGACCTAAATTGGTAATATTATGGTTCATATTTGAATAACTGGCGAAAGGTGCTTTGGTCAATCATAGAGACGCCACCTGTGATTATAAGATCCAGACACAAGACGTGTAGTTTACACAATGAACCGCCAACATTTCAAACCTACATACTAATAGATATTTTCACCTTCATGTCTGGTGCGTCATATGTACACGTAAGTGAACATTTTGCTTGAAGTATTCCTTCGACCATTCCTTCGACTGGACTGAGTGACTACGGGGCATACAATAGCAGGGGTTGTCTTTGTGTTTGTAACAGAAAATTGAAAGATGTTTCTTCAAGCTTGGAAGAACATTGTGCCATCTTTGCGTGACATCTGTACGAACAAGACAATATGGTAAACTGTATAAAAGATGAATAGATAGTGAGTTTTATTTGTGTATATTAAGAAACAATTCATGATCATCTGTGTTCAAGAATGTGTCACAAAACAGGCGATCAAAAAGGAACTTGAGAAACAAAATTATAAATTAACTGAATAGTGAAGAAAAACATAAAGAAAACATAGATAAATATTCAATCCGTTTGGGAGGTGCAAGGATATATCAAAGTATTATTTCAGGCAAAATGGGGTCAATGTTTGTTAAATAATGTGCTTATGGTCATGACACCATTTAATCGATTGTTTGAATAGACAAACAAATTTTAAATGTTCTTCCAAGCAATGAAAATTACAAAATCAGTTGCGTTTTCCAGAAACTAATTTGTATATGAGCTTACTTATTTCATCTAGAGATATTCATTTGTTATGTCTACTGTGGGCTTGGAGTGGATTCGTGGAACAATCCTCCTTTAGAATACCAATAGTACTTAAAGCATCTTGCGAGTCAGGCACCATGTGGGATTATGGGATTGTCCTGGCAGACGCTGTTGCCTATGGTACTTTAGGATTTTGGGATTGCCGAACACTCTCTTACCAAAACACTTTCTCATATGGCAGTCCCTTCCTATTATTTATAACAAAGTAGTGGAATTTGCTTTTGTTTGTCAAAATATACTTTATTCAGTTAAATCCCTTACTGTTGTGGACTGTTTTCAGGTGGAGTCCCTCAAGTCGACCTTCAGGTCGGGAAGCAGAACATATATACTCGACTGACCCCTGCAGAGACTGTTGGTGAAGGTAGGCATTGTCAGCCATGATTCAGGTTATTCTAGTTGTGTATTTGGAGCTAACACGTATGAAAAGAAAACATATAATAATTTATAATCTAGAAGTAAACTAGACTATGACATATAAATATTACCCATAATGGTTGCATCTTCTTGTGTAATCACTTTCCCATATTTGCATATGTGCATTTAAACGATTCTCAATGTTAATTCGTCACTTAAAGCCATATGACGTCATCCATTGTTAACGTCACAAATTCATTTCATTAAGTCGTCTGAACAATAGGCTGCCTTCAGTCAAATTTATCTGTAACGTTATGCGTGTTTCTTCGTGTTTTCTTTTATAATGGCAATTAGTAATATAGAGAATAACCTACTCTAAACTCGGAATTACAGATTATCTTTACCCCATGAAATAATGCTGTAAGAACACCATTTATTCACTCTGGACAGATAATCGGTAATTGCTCATAGGTCGTTTATTATTCTATATATGTAATTTATGACCTAATGTCAATTTCATCATAAATTGAATTATGTCTGTTTTTCAACTTGACAATGTCACAACATCCCGATTACCCTTAACGTGCAGAACTAGGATGGACATAGTGATCAGACCACTGCGCTGTATGAGAGAGTGTCTGGAATGAGAGAGGGTCAGCTTTCTTGTCGCCCCATGAAACAGTGTCCTACACCACGTTACTGCTGAAAACGACAGTATTTTTTAATTTTAAAAATCATCCCCTAGCCAACTTCTATTGTACCAGTATATCTGATTCACTTAGTAGATGTAACGTCCCAGCGGACTTTCAGACCTAAGTTTCCATCAAGGTTTTCAGAATATATTCAATGAATGTAATTGAATATAGTCTATACAGATGTTTATGGACCTTTGGAATCCAGTACAAAAGCTGAATGGACTTATTTTCAAGTTCTAGAGTCAAGCCAGAAGTTGATGCTTCTGTTGTGTGGTTTTAGGAACTTTTTTCCCCAGTGGACATAATGGTCTTATATGTAATGTTATATATGTCACTTTTACCAAGTTCTCTGATCAAACAAGAAATGAAGGGATGCTTACATATTGCGGTAACGTTATTTGCGGCCTTGTCAGTGGGAACAAGTACTAATGTTTCATGTTGGGCATCCAGACTTTGGATGACAGCTGACTGGGACAGACTAGGTATAATGGGTTTTCAATTTGTGCATTCTATATTTGACAACAACACGCACACCGAATTTACACACTCCGTTGGACATTCAGAAGGTTCAACTTCTCTATTGGTTCATTTTGTGACATACGCTTCGACAACATCCATAAGTGATTTAAAGTTGTGACCTAAATTGGTAATATTATGGTTCATATTTGAATAACTGGCGAAAGGTGCTTTGGTCAATCATAGAGACGCCACCTGTGATTATAAGATCGAGACACAAGACGTGTAGTTTACACAATGAACCGCCAACATTTCAAACCTACATACTAATAGATATTTTCACCTTCATGTCTGGTGCGTCATATGTACACGTAAGTGAACATTTTGCTTGAAGTATTCCTTCGACCATTCCTTCGACTGTACTGAGTGACTACGGGGCATACAATAGCAGGGGTTGTCTTTGTGTTTGTAACAGAAAATTGAAAGATGTTTCTTCAAGCTTGGAAGAACATTGTGCCATCTTTGCGTGACATCTGTACGAGCAAGACAATATGGTAAACTGTATAAAACATGAATAGATAGTGAGTTTTATTTGTGTATATTAAGAAACAATTCATGATCACCTGTGTTCAAGAATGTGTCACAAAACAGGCGATCAAAAAGGAACTTGAGAAACAAAATTATAAATTAACTGAATAGTGAAGAAAAACATAAAGAAAACATAGATAAATATTCAATCCGTTTGGGAGGTGCAAGGATATATCAAAGTATTATTTCAGGCAAAATGGGGTCAATGTTTGTTAAATAATGTGCTTATGGTCATGACACCATTTAATCGATTGTTTGAATAGACAAACAAATTTTAAATGTTCTTCCAAGCAATGAAAATTACAAAATCAGTTGCGTTTTCCAGAAACTAATTTGTATATGAGCTTACTTATTTCATCTAGAGATATTCATTTGTTATGTCTACTGTGGGCTTGGAGTGGATTCGTGGAACAATCCTCCTTTAGAATACCAATAGTACTTAAAGCATCTTGCGAGTCAGGCACCATGTGGGATTATGGGATTGTCCTGGCGGACGCTGTTGCCTTTGGTACTTTAGGATTTTGGGATTGCCGAACACTCTCTTACCAAAACACTTTCTCATATGGCAGTCCCTTCCTATTATTTATAACAAAGTAGTGGAATTTGCTTTTGTTTGTCAAAATATACTTTATTCAGTTAAATCCCTTACTGTTGTGGACTGTTTTCAGGTGGAGTCCCTCAAGCCGTCACTCTGGTCGGGACGCAGAATATATTTACTCGACCGACCCCTGTAGGGACTGTTGGTGAAGGTAGGCATTGTCAGCCATGATTCAGGTTATTCTAGTTGTGTATTTGGAGCTAACACGTATGAAAAGAAAACATATAATAATTTATAATCTAGAAGTAAACTAGACTATGACATATAAATATTACCCATTATGGTTGTATCTTCTTGTGTAATCACTTTCCCATATTTGCATATGTGCATTTAAACGATTCTCAATGTTAATTCGTCACTTAAAGCCATATGACGTCATCCATTGTTAACGTCACAAATTCATTTCATGAGGTCATCTGAACAATAGGCTGCCTTCTGTCGAATTTATCTATAGCGTTATGCGTGTTTCTTCATGTTTTCTCTTATAATGGCAATTAGTAATATAGAGAATAACCTACTCTAAACTCGGAATTACAGATTATCTTTACCCCATGAAAGAATGCTGTAAGAACACCATTTATTCACTCTGGACAGATAATCGGTAATTCCTCATAGGTCGTTTATTATTCTATATATGTAATTTATGACCTAATGTCAATTCATCATAAATTGAATTATGTCTGTTTTTCAACTTGACAATGTCACAACATCCCGATTACCCTTAACGTGCAGAACTAGGATGGACATAGTGATCAGACCACTGCGCTGTATGAGAGAGTGTCTGGAATGAGAGAGGGTCAGCTTTCTTGTCGCCCCATGAAACAGTGTCCTACACCACGTTACTGCTGAAAACGACAGTATTTTTTTAATTTTAAAAATCATCCCCTAGCCAACTTCTATTGTACCAGTATATCTGATTCACTTAGTAGATGTAACGTCCCAGCGGACTTTCAGACCTAAGTTTCCATCAAGGTTTTCAGAATATATTCAATGAATGTAATTGAATATAGTCTATACAGATGTTTATGGACCTTTGGAATCCAGTACAAAAGCTGAATGGACTTATTTTCAAGTTCTAGAGTCAAGCCAGAAGTTGATGCTTCTGTTGTGTGGTTTTAGGAACTTTTTTCCCCAGTGGACATAATGGTCTTATATGTAATGTTATATATGTCACTTTTACCAAGTTCTCTGATCAAACAAGAAATGAAGGGATGCTTACATATTGCGGTAACGTTATTTGCGGCCTTGTCAGTGGGAACAAGTACTAATGTTTCATGTTGGGCATCCAGACTTTGGATGACAGCTGACTGGGACAGACTAGGTATAATGGGTTTTCAATTTGTGCATTCTATATTTGACAACAACATGCACACCGAATTTGCACACTCCGTTGGACATTCAGAAGGTTCAACTTCTCTATTGGTTCATTTTGTGACATACGCTTCGACAACATCCATAAGTGATTTAAAGTTGTGACCTAAATTGGTAATATTATGGTTCATATTTGAATAACTGGCGAAAGGTGCTTTGGTCAATCATAGAGACGCCACCTGTGATTATAAGATCGAGACACAAGACGTGTAGTTTACACAATGAACCGCCAACATTTCAAACCTACATACTAATAGATATTTTCACCTTCATGTCTGGTGCGTCATATGTACACGTAAGTGAACATTTTGCTTGAAGTATTCCTTCGACCATTCCTTCGACTGTACTGAGTGACTACGGGGCATACAATAGCAGGGGTTGTCTTTGTGTTTGTAACAGAAAATTGAAAGATGTTTCTTCAAGCTTGGAAGAACATTGTGCCATCTTTGCGTGACATCTGTACGAACAAGACAATATGGTAAACTGTATAAAACATGAATAGATAGTGAGTTTGATTTGTGTATATTAAGAAACAATTCATGATCACCTGTGTTCAAGAATGTGTCACAAAACAGGCGATTGTCCTAGCGGACGCTGTTTCCTACTTTAGGATTTTGGGATTGCCGAACTCTCTCTTACCAAAACACTTTCTCATATGGCAGTCCCCTCCTATTATTTAAAACAAAGCAGTTTGAAAACGACACATCATTAGCATTTCTAATTGTATTACATACATAAAGGATATAACGATTTTCTGTTTCGTTTTTAGCTATCCTTGACCTGCAAATAAGTGCCGCAAAAGAAATCTTTGTTGAAGCTGAAGCCTTTAGAACTGCAAAACTAAAGCTGAAGGAATTTGGCCATGTCACCATCTGTGGTGCTTCAGGAGAAGGGAAAACCACAATAGCCCTCATGTTGGGCTCACCGTACAGAAGAAAAGGGTACAAGCTTGCATTTGTGGACAGGATTGATCAGTTTGACTTTGATAGCTTCTTGAGTTCATCACCTAGAGTATTTCTTATCATAGACGATATGTTTGGATCGGTTGGACTATCTACAGATGTTTCCCAGCTGAAACTATTTCTGAGTAAGCTTGTTCCTCACTTACAGCGATGCAAGAAGGATTTAGAGAAACAATATTCACTCAGAAATCTTCCAGCTAAGAAAGGAGGAGAAAAGGAGGCTAGTGGAGTTTCTGACCCAGCACAACAACCTTCGAAGGATATCCGTGTTGTGTTCACATCCAAGACCTACAACTTCCACGATGGGCTTGCCCAGATGCAATATGAGGGGTTCTCGTTGTTCAAGGGACAAACAGTGATAGATATGACAACACAAACGAAACACAGATATACTCAAGAAGAGAAGAAAGCAATATTTGAGAAACACAGGAACCTCCACAATAAGTGTTCTGATGAAGGTAATGAAAATGACACAGATTATGAAGACGTGCTACAAGGCGGCCTGTGGGACGCCGATTCTGTGTTTGGATATCCACTTACTTGTGAACTATTTTTCAAATTTTCATTTTTTTCCAAACATATGATGAACTTTTTCAAGGAACCACTGTTTTATCTTAGATTAGAACTTAACAGCTTACTGAAATCAAAAACTGATCGATCAGCCATATTGGTTCTTATGCTACTGTGTGAGGAGAAGTTAGATTTGGCCATGTTGGAATCAGCAGGAAAAGACAATGCACTGGACAATATGATTGGAAATATGTTAAAATTGTTCCCAATAGCTTCACGTTTAGGAATGTACGAAGCAGCAAAGAGCTTCAGAGGAACATACTTCACCCGTGGAGATACTGTTGGATTTGCCAACTCTTCGATCTATGATGCCTGTGCTTGTGCGTTGTATGACATCAGTCCAACATTTGTGCTGACTCATTGCAGTGACAACTTTATATATGAGAGAGTGCAACCCCAGCCAGTATCAGAAACCGTGATTGATGAACACCTTCATGTCATCTACATCTCCGAAATTTATTATGACATTCTGACCACACGGCTTGCAAAGTCAATAAAAGATGGGCATTTTTCTAAATCAGTGACACACCCAATTCTCCGGCAAGACCAAATAGTTCTTCAACTGCTTGAAAAACTTCGGTGTGATGATTCCATGGAAGAAAGTTGGTTTCACAAAAGAGAAATGGGGCAAGGTTTCCTATTCTGGACTGTACTTGGACATAGTTCAAAGTTTGCCAAATATATAGAAAAGAAAACTGGCGAAGAATTTACGCAAAAAGAAATCACAGAATCCTTTGAAGGTTGTGTATTGAAAAACAACGTGACATTGTTAAAGTGGCTTTTCTCAAGATGTGAACATCCAGTTGCTGGTGTCACCATGAATAGCTTGCTTTTGCTGTCTGCTAGACATGGAAGTTCTGAAACACTTCTTTATCTATTAGAAGAGGGTGGCGATACAGTCACTACAGCTGACAATTACAAGACCATCATACATAAAGCGTGCAGGACAGGACAGCAGAAGATACTAAATGTGTTAAAAGAACACAATAGCGACCTCTTTAAGACTGTTGTAATGAAGTCTGTAGATGATGAAGGCAGGACTCCACTCATGGAAGCAGCACAGGCAGGATCAAATGACTGTTACCAGATTTTACAATCAATATCAAACAAGAACAAAACGGACGAACCCGGGAATGCAATAGAACACTGTGCATGTTTAGGTGGTAACATTGCTGAAGTACAAGGTATCCTGTCATCTTCTAACATCAATAGCAGAGGACAAGATGGACTTACACCAGTCATGGTAGCAGCTTGTCAAGGGCACAAAAGTGTGTTTGATCTCCTCGTGTCAAAGAAGGCTGACCTGACACTGGTGGATGACCATGGTGACAGCTTACTTCATCTGGCCTGTGGTGGTGGTAACATAGCTATAGTACAACATGTCTTGACACCTTCTAACATCAATAGCAGAGGACAGTATGGATGTTCACCAATCATGGTGGCAGCTCGTAAAGGGCACCAAAGTGTGTTTGATCACCTCGTGTCAAAGAAGGCTGACCTGACACTGGTGGATGACCATTGTAATAGCTTACTTCATCATGCCTGTGCTGGTGGTAACACAGCTATAGTACAACATGTCTTGTCACACGCTAACATCAATCCCAGAAGATAAGATGAACAAACACCAGTCATGGTAGCAGCTTGTAAAGGACACCAAAGTGTGTTTGACCTCCTCGCATCAAAGAAGGCTGACCTGACAGTGGTGGATGACTATGGTGACAGTTTACTTCATCTGGCCTGTATTGGTAGTAACACAGCTATAGTACAACATGTCTTGTCACCCTCTAACATAAACTTAGGTGGAAACAGTGGTGTGACTCCAGTTGTGATTGCAGCTGTTTATGGCCGTCAAAGAGTGTTTGACCTCCTGGTGTCAAGGAATGCTGACCTGACACAGTGGATAGCAATAGTGATAGTTCACGCCGTCCTGCCTATTGTGATGTCAAGACGGTAATAGTATGGCTGCCCGTACCACCTCCGTACAGTGGTAGCTGAAGGAATAAAAGCTGCTCACATTACATTATGAACCACAATTGTAGCGCATGTTTTCAAAGAAGAAAACCTGTCAAATATACGTTTTAGCTGCAGACAGGCGTCAGAGCAACATGTAGCTCCCAGTCTCTTAGTACATCATAAGCATGTGTGAAAGTTTACGCGAAAAGGCGGTTCCCGTCACAGTTCCACCCACCCCAACACGCACGCACGCACGCACGCACGCACGCACGCACGCACGCACGCAAGCACAAAAACACACTCACACTCTTTCTTAAAATGACGTTTCTGGGAACATGTGTAGCTGTTTAATCTGGTTCTAACCATATATTCTCAACATGTTTGGTAGTTGCCTTCACATTTTATTAAAACTGTCATCGGCATCATTTTTCTTTTGAAAATAGTTTCGTGAAAGATATATTAAGTGTTTTCTTAAAATCACATCAAATTAAATGTTTAGAACCAATTTTACTACCTCGGTTTATATACTTCCTGCTGGCTAGGTTGAGGAGTGAAGAATTCACGACCAAAACATACAGTTCTGAGGTTGAAACTGATTGTTTGTGATGAGAGGTAGTTTAGACGTTTTTCAGTACCATCATATGATTGACAATGTTCTATTCATAGAAGACATGAAGAATAGTCTCTCCTTCCATCTTACAAAACGAGGATTTATTTGTACTGACTACATTCTCAGGGGTTCTTTTAACACAATAATGTGAATGAATCTATATTTGAAATCCAGAAGTTTAATATGTTTGGTACTTGTTATAATTTGTGTATACATATGTTTCCAGTTCAGATCTTCAGACATAATCTATGGCGCAACCTTTGTGAAAGTATGTTTTCAAGTTGTGTTCAAGTAACTGGGTCCCAAATATTCTACAATGTTTAATTTTTACAAACAGGTATTTTGCTGGTGCGATAGTATCAGTATTATAGTTCACTGAAACTGAACTGTCATGGTTTTTGATATAAGTGTTACCATTCTATAATCTATACATGTTATTAGTATTGAGATATCTGAAGTAAAATTTATACCGGATTGGTAAAATAATCTTACTACTCAGTTATGTGCGGTTACGTTCATAATCATATTGATATTCGGTCGCAATGAATGATGTTTACACAAGTTTAGAACATTGTTATTGATTGTTATCATACCGATATACTATCACATTTGTCATTACATTTTGCCTATATGCCTATGCTATTAATGTAAAACATCTTTGCAAACCACGTCTATTCTAAATAGATTTGCAAAAGGATGTCCAACCTTGTATATTCTATATTTTGTTCAAAGCTTCTGACCGCAGAAAACCAGGAATTAACCAATCTGTTATATGTACTTAGGAACTTGAACTATGTGTCATGCACGTAGTGTCAGAGTTGCCAGTGTCCGATGTAGTCAATGTACACTAGATATCAGTGTCCCGGACAGTACATCCTAGTTTACAATGACCCTGGACATTGACCATTGTATGGACGTTATTTCGGAGGTATATTTTTGTTCTTTGCAGTAAGACCTTACCCAGGCATACTTTAAGCGCCTGGCAAATAGGCGAGTGACGTACATGTATTACGATGAGTCAAAAACTGTTTGTGAAAATATAACGCCATATTTATTTCAAGGGCTATTATCTGGGTTTCCGTTTTTCAGATTGACAACCCACTCAAAACAATGGACTCAACCAAAGCCGCTTCACTCAATAGCTTTGCTTTGACCAAAGAGTTTTTTTTATTTTGTCATGGTTGAATTGAGATAACGCAAAATGTTAGGGTTCAAATTCAATTTAATCTTACGAAACTGAAAACACAGTTTGTTTATTATCTCCTAAATGAAGTCATCAGTCACACCGAAATACAGTTGACAGCAGGACACAAAATCTTAAAACCTTTCTTTGTGTAGTTCGCTTGTAACTGATACCCTTGTTTATGGGGTCATGTACAGTGACAACATCATAGAATATTTTCTGATAATAATCCACACCTATAAGATAACAGTTATTCTACCATGAATTTGGAAATTACTCGTTTCTCGCTATTAAATCACAATAAACCCCCTCTGATTGAAATAGCTGGTTTGACGGCCGCATCACCGTGTTAGCTAATAATCATAGAATAATACTTTTTTCAGTCATTGTCGGTAGCATATTTAAATCGTTATACCTACAATTACAGGTTACAAATGGAAATTGGTGCTTTTCTATATACGACTGTGCCGTCATATCTTTTGCGTCACAATGAGCGATATGACGTCATAATGGTGACGTGCGGTGTAGAATGAAAGACGTTTAAAGTTTGGTCAGTTTTCTTTAGGGAGGCCCACCTCATGTTAGCTTACAAAGTTTTAGTGCATATATGCTTTTAATGCATGTCATATATTCGAGTGAAGTATTACAGTGTAAACAACCTGCTTGAACATCCATGTATACAGCGCCATATTTGGCTTACAGCCTGTTGTCAGGGATTCCGTAATTCCAATCGACAACCCACTCAAAACACTGGACTCAACCAATGCCGCTTAGTACAATATATGTGCTGATACCAAAGAGTTCGCGGTTTATTTAGTCATGGTAGAATGGTGATAAACATACTGTGTTTTCAATGCTGCACGTTCGGTTCCAAATTCTAATTAGCGCGGTAAAGTCTACAGGTACCCTAGCTCTACAGTGTTTATCTCCTAAATATCCGTTACACTGTTCCATACGTATGTGGTACAAACTGAAACACAACTGATATCGCCTTCAGGAATGCATTTCAAGATCCGAACACATCAGGGGATGCATCCCTGAAATACATTTTCAGACAGAAAAAGAATCATTTTGTGGATGGTAAACAGTAGTGGCAGTTATTTTATAGTTATTTGTTGAAACTATTATATCGCTCCTGAATCGTCCCCCACCTTAAGGAAGGTACTTCGGAATTACAGATGATTTGTGTCATATATTGTAAATTTACGAATGAATAATCTCTCTGAATATATATATATATATATATATATATATGTGTGTGTGTGTGTGTTTTATTGTTTCATTGTGTAGGGCATGTCCAAATGAGCATATTCCCTGTTAGATAATGTCAAATCCTGTATGTGTTTTATTTTGTACAGGTTGCCTCACTTAGCGTATATCCTGCAGGATACTGTCACACCTTGTATGCGTTTTATTTTGTACAGCATTTCCGCAGTAGGGTATATCCTGCAGGATAATGTCACACCTTGTATGTGTTTTATTTTGTACAGCATGTCCGAATGAGCATACATCCTGCAGGATAATGTCACACCTTGTATGCGTTTTATTTTGTACAGCATGTCCGAATGAGCGTATATCCTGCAGGATAATGTCACACCTTGTATGTGTTTTATTTTGTACGGCTTCCCGAATGAGCATATATCCTGCAGGATAATGTCACACCTTGTATGTGTTTTATTTTGTACGGCTTCCCGAATGAGCATATATCCTGCAGGATAATGTCACACCTTGTATGCGTTCTATTTTGTACAGCATGTCCGCATTAGGATATATCTTCCAGGATAATGTGACACCTTGTATGTGTTTTTTTTGTACGGCTTGCCCGATTGAGCATATATCCTGCAAGTTAAAGGTACATACCAAACGGCTGGCCCTTCTGCCACTCCTGTAATTCTACAGATTTGTACATTGTACTGTGCACATGTATTGACCGTATTTGTATACCTATCAAGCGTGTGTAGTTTCGACTTTATATAAAACGAATACATCAACACTTCTACCCATATAATATTGCCTGTTGATGTAACATATGTCAACCTATTCCTTGACAATGGCGTTCCCCCGTTGAATCCAGGCTTATGGCTTCAATCAAACCAATCTATAAAAAGTAAAGGAAGTTAAGCTGACCCTGACATTGCAGGTTCAGACAGACAGAAAGTTTATTCTCGTCTCACCTCCATACAGTTCTTAAAAATATAAAATTATAATACATTATATATACAGTGTATTGAGCCTCTTTTTGAGTTATGAGAGACGTAAAAGTCAGTAAAATCTGATATTTCTGTTGCTTTCTGGTTTAATCGTTCACGGCTTTATTGACATACTGGCTACATGTACAAGCCTTCCCTAATTGTTTTAATCTCAGCGAAGCGCAAGCCGGGATCAGGAATAACTACTCAACTATTTACAATGTGTTTATTCTAAATGTGCTGAGATACTTGTAAGAATTTCGATAGAATAATTTGTATTGTGTGCTTGTTGATTTTAATAACGCCTTTGATACAGTTTGGAGATGTTGTTTGTGGACTAGACTGATAGGAATATTCAAAGGAATATTTTTACTGAACCAGATAACGTATGCTTCACATAATATTGATGCAACGGATTGTTTCGTATTGGTGTACAACTAGGTGAACATTTTGTCACCCTTCTTATTCGCACTGTGCCTAGACATATAAACGTTTCTATCTGAAATGGTTTGAATGAAGTGCAAAGTATAAATAACATCATTAACGATTCACTTCGTTTGTACTAAAACTTTAGTGATGTTATATGGAATGATATGCTGAAGGATTAAACTTCAGATCTAAAAAAATGTTTAACTGTATTTGAAGAATAATGTAATAAATGTAAACTCAAAGTGAATCTAGATAACAATCAGGCATCGAGGGCCATGCATACAGTGTTTCAAACAAAATAGACTTTAAGAACTGCATATCGATTGTCAGCTTAAACGTTTTTCACCAAATGGTCCAGTCTGTATTGTTATATTGTTCAGAAATAGAAGCTTTGAGAAACCAATACTCTTGGAACATGTACATTTAAAATGTATTAAACATATTGGCATACCTTAGTTATAACAATCAACGCGTACGCGACATGTACATGGCTAACTGGGGGAATATCCACTCAGCAGGTACACTAAAGTATGATCTCGTGCTGGTGAAATTACTACCATCTGATAACACTCTCTCAGATAGTGCTTGCAAATTGATATTTCATTTACCTAATGTAATCAAGACTACAACTTTCCACTTCTGAATGTCATGTTTGTCATGGTTAAAACAGTTGATATTATAACCATCTGACCTAAGTATTTGTCTTACTTGCTTTAGAACTGCTAATCTCAAGTGACCTGTTGAAAATGAAAGATGTTTTTAAGAAGAGAAATTATGCATTATGTAAAAATGCAATCGGTGATGAAATGCATTGTTTGTTGTAATGTCACTATTTTTCAGATATTAAAATTCAGTTGCAACCTGCTTGTTACTGTTAATATCCTTATTCTTTGTAACTACTCTCCGTGTAAGTGCACGTGCGGAGGTTGTGCGATCTGATTTAGATGAGTGGGGATTACACCTTATTTCAGGGTTTTGCAGACATACAGAGACTCCTAGTTAATTTGAGTCTCACCTCATTTTTACATATTAAACATTGTACTGTGACATAAAATTGAGCCATTAGTTTTGGGGGTTATGAGGGGCTAGATGTATGTTCAATGCATATTTTGAAAAAAAACAATCTCCTAAATATAAACCAGGATACCTTTACGTAAAAACGTTTACATACAATACAGAATAAACTAGAAACTATATAAACCTGAGCTCTGATATTAATGTTTGCACAGATTTAAGATAGTTTTGCAGTTTCTGGCACTGACCCTTACAACTCTGGGACGGTCCAGGATAAAACAAACTTTAAATGATCACTTTCATTTTGTATTTTCAGTAAAACCGGACGAACGTCATTATACACTGGACAGTGTAATAACACATGTATCTCACCCTCAACGCAGCTGTTGCAGTTAACACACACTCTCCCGTCTAGATGTACGTTTGTATACCGTCCAGTTTCCAATCGAAAAGGAGCCATCCAGCTCCTAAAAACTGCTGGCTATTTACGATTTAATGTAGACATGGCAAATTAGGTGAAATGTTCCACATTGTGCTCGCTCTTGAACTGGTTGTACAGACGTAGTTTGTTTCCTCCGTTACCATTTAACTGTTAACTTGGTTTATTGATGCAGTCAACCTTTTTTGTACTTCTCAAATACTTTCTCTCACTTCTTTACTAATAGCGTCCGCCCGGAGAGCGGAAGGTCCGGAGTTCGATCCCCGGCCGCGTCATACCAAAAGACGTTAAAAGATGGTACTTGTTGTTACCCTGTCTGGCGCTCGGCATTAAGGGGCTAAAACAAGGACTGGTCGGCTCGGAGTCAGTATACTGTGTCTGAGTGGGGTATTCATGTTAAACTGCGGCATGGTATCTCAGTGGGCCAGCACTATAAATCGGCATCAGTCCGGACTAGTACAAGCAGCCACACAAACACACACACGTACATGCACGTCTCTATATAAGTGCAATAATCTTGGACGCGACGTTAAACCCCAGCACCATCTTTACTAATATGACGATAATGATAACCATTATCCGTTGAAATGAAGCTTCCAGTACTAAGTCTTTATACTTGGAATGAACTGTACGAATCCAGTTCCTCTTCTTATCCACCACGTCTGTTGACCCACATAAAACCTTTCCTTCGTGTTCTGTGTTGAAGAGAGCTAAAGCGTTTATATAACTTAGGTACGGTCTCCAACTGTCGTATTGTTAAAGGTACCCATCCAAAGTCTCCTGATTCAGAATTACTTGGAGCAAATTCTCTAAGGCCGATAAAAGTCTCACAGCCTTATTTTGAATTCCATTCATACACGAGAGGTTATGGTTTCCCCAGACTTCTGCTCCGAGCTGGATTGTAGAACACACCATGGAGTCGTACAGTTTAGTGTACGTATTATACTTCATGCCACACAAACTTGAGGATCAGGAGCCCTAGTGCCATGTTTGATAATCTAAATGTTCTGTGAGTAGCAATACTAAATGGTTGTAACTGATGGCAACTTCAATAGGCGTTGTTCCACAAATAATTTATTATGCTTGTGGTTCTGCACACAGGCGGATTTCTGAAATGGATTGATCTTTATTTTGGTGCATTGATAGTCATTTCATTACATATATATTCTCAGTCACCTAATTTCCAATGTTCTTCTAGAAGTCAACTTCTGAATCGCAAAGCTTTTCAATATCAGCTTTTGCCATTTCTGTGTATTGTCCCTTAGCTTTTGTAACATACCAATCAAAAAACTTTCTCTTTGCAACATCCACTGCCTTGTACTGGCGCTTCCTTGTCCATTCAGTGTACTCCATTCCCTCTCTGCATCACACATCATACACTTGAAATGTGTGCAGTACATCGTAGCCCACATGGTGTATGTAGGATAGCCTCTATTTGCGACTGATATGGATTCAACGCTGACGGCTCAGTACTGGTGCGTTGACATTCATACCATCCTCGAGGAAGTCACCAACGCACAAGTACAGTCAAGCTGCTCCACTGCAAGGGCAGACACTCTGACCCTCTGTACACTGTACCTATGTACTTATAACTTGTATGTATGGTACTTTGGGAAATCATGTTGCCTATGTTATTGCCCCAGAATATCAGCCTATTGAGGATCACAATAATCTGAGATATTAGAACGAATCAAACCCTCATTGACAATACGTTGAAAAGGCTTTAAGACTGTTAAACACTATTAACTAGATCTCACACTCTTCTTGTCATTGTATATTGCATGTTGCTTGCATCTAATCGGGGATTATGTAACACCTAGCAATTACATCATTACATTATGTGAAACAATTGTGATTATATTTTTTTAATCAGATTGTGTCCTATTACATGCCATCAACTATTGGCTGTTCCAGCCTCAATTACTAGTATTTACAGACCTCCGCGGTATAGTTTAAATAGTTGGGTGTGGCGTAAAACAATACACAATTCGAGCAACAGTAATGTATTATTATGTATTCCCAGCTTTAGATAACTTGACAGAGTGGATATCAATTGTAAAAGTTAACTTCGTCCTGCCTATCGCGAAGTCAAGAAGGAAATAGTAAAGCTATCGGCACCACCTGCGCATCGTGGTAGCTCCTGGAATAAAAGCTG